ACGGATGGAGCCAGAGATTTGGGCTTGAAGCCACAGTGTGCTCAATGGCTCCCGCTAGTCTGAAATACAAATCTTGCACCGAAAACGTGAACTACATTCGTGTTTTTGTTTAGAGTGAAGTTACTGTTTGCTTGAGTTCCATTTAAGCTGTTGCTAGTGGAGTCTATTCAAACATTTGAGAGCTTCTTGGTAATCTAATTCAAGCGTTTAAGCAGTTTTGTGTGTTTTTCAGTTTAAAGGGAGAAGGGAAGTACTGTATGTGCAGAGACTGTGTGTGGTGAACTCTTGTGCAACCGCCGCTGACAGACAGTATTACAGTAGAAGTGTGTACTGTAACCTCCATCGTGGTGGCGTCAGACATCCTCTCCCGTTCTGTGCCGCTGCGCCCCTCAGGGCTTCTTGAGTCGGCGTAATCGGGATGTTCTGGACTCACCCCCCTTCTTTCCCTCCCTGGCGACCGATCTGGAACTAATAGAGGACCCAGAGGATACGGGCTTGACGGATAGGCCTTTCAGACTTGCGGCCAGCCCGCTTTGGTTAGTCTGTGAAATCTCAGGCTGGGGATTGCAAACAGAGTCTGGTGCAGCAATGTCGGAAGAGGGATTGTTGGAATCGCTTGATGCTGCAGGCTCTCCAAGACGCGATCTTTTTGTCTTTTGGCGGTCAGCGTGTTCTCCTGAGCTACTTGGGGTCCGTGGACATCTCCTCGGACCGGTAGCGTCAAGATGTGGTTCAGTGACCTCTTTACTGTTACTTAATTTAGATGACAACACAGCTTTCCCTTCCTCCAATGACTCACCCGTGAGCAAGCTGCCAGACGATATGGTGACAGGATGACATGTTTCGGCAGAGCCCTTCTCAGCATTGTCCGCTTGGAATTGGGCTGATCTGGACTCTTGATCATCTTGCCGCTGTTGGGGTTGGATGCTAGCCTGCCTGGCACTGGAGGAATGAGGAAAGGTTACGTGAAGATGTAGATGGATCACCGCAAGGTATATCAGAATAGTACTTACATCTTCTGAAGGATGGCTCTTTTTGTAGCTGTGGAGCTGGGTAATGGATCTGTTGTCTCGACAGAGCTAGAAAAATACTTTGAATGGCTTGGTTCACTCTGTTCAGAAAAAAAGAGAGATCCATTGAACTCAAGATGGTGGATGAAACAAAAAGTTCTTTATAAATCAGTTTACTGTATCATTTATTAGGTTCGGTTTCAGTTAGGATGCTATCTATGTAGGCATCTCATTAGGTTTTGGAACAGAGCTACTCTCTCATCACCTGACAGAAACTATGAAGTAAATTATTATTATTATTTGTTTTTTAAAGGACTCTAAGAGAAGTCCATTGTACTAACATTAATTAACTTGGAGATATTTGGTGTAGCCATGGGAACAAATCCATGGGATGTTTTGTTTTGATGGCCATACCCAAGAGACCAAGGAAAAACACAAGCAAAAAAGCTTGTGTTGAACTGCCAGTATTCAGAGGAAGTTCTCTTTTTTCCCTTTCTCTGGCTTGGTCATCAAATTTCTGATCATGTTCATCAAAATATAAATATTTGTGCAGCTTTACTTTTTTTTGTGCCTTATTTTGCTTGTGCATGTTGTATATTTTGTGTTTCTGTTTTAATATATATAAATCATGTAAAAAATACCAATATGTGACCCTGGACCACAAAACCAGTTTTGAGTCGCTGGGGTATATTTGTAGCAACAGCCAAAAATACATTGTAT